TTAAGGAATTTAATCCCCTCACAGTTGCCCAAGGTTACGGATTAATTCCTCCCAAGATAGAATGGGATAACTATTCTGTGACAGCGGCACTTCAAATCACAAATCTTCGGCGAACTCAAATGGTGGAGCAAACACAAAATGCTTACGTTTTGCTTTTCAAAACCAATGCAGAATGTAGAAGATTGAGGGGGAGAGATTTCAGATTTTCCGGTGGTGGAAAATGAGGCTAAGCCTCTCTATTTATAGCCAAAGAAGTTGAGTCTCAACCGGTGCATAGGATCCCGAGTTGCATTAGCCTAGCTCACACAAGATTGAGAGACAAACAATCACGCAACCCACAATCTACACAAGGAATTCTTTGTTGGGTTTTGTTAGTAATAACAAAAGAGGTGCGAATGAAAATGGTGGGAAAAAAAATGGAGAAAAATGAAAATTTGAATTAGTTCACTTTACTAATGCACTTTGTCCTTCATTGGAAGAAGGAAGCAAATCTTTCTGCTTATATAGAGAAGCACATCTTCTAGTTCTTAAAGAGTTAAGAAGAAGTGGTACCTCGCGCCGTCATCAGCTTCGGTCGAAACCGAAGCCGAAGCCGAGTGACGACGACGACCCGAGGCACCGCTTCTTCTTAACTCTTTAAGAGCTAGAATATGTGCTTCTATATATAAGCACAAAGATTTTCGTTCCTTCTTCCAATGAGGGACAAAGTGCATTAGTAAAGTGAACTATTTCAAAATTTCATTTCCCTCAATTTCTTTTCCCACCATTTTCTATTCACACCTCTTTTATTATTACTAACAAAACCCAACAAAAAATTGCTTGTGTAGATTGTGGGTTGCGTGAGTGTTTTGTCTCTCAATCTTGTGTGAGCTCGGCTAATGCAACTCGAGATGCAATTGTTAAACACCAAAAGTAACCTCTTCCATGGTGGATTACTTGCAAAAAATGAACATACAATTATAACCTTACTGGAGCTACTCAACCAGTCTCTGATGGAGATTTGATCTCTCTTTTTTTAGAGGTTTATAATATTATTATGATGGATTAGTCGTGTATGCCACTTTTTGACCAGGTCACATCTCTCTTATCTATTTTTATTGCCTCTTGGTTTATAAGTTTCGAGTAGATGAATGTTCTCAAGCAGAACTTTAGTCAAGCGTATCTCGCTATTCAAGATTCTAATACCTTAAAAACTTAATGCAACTTCAAAGGTCTCATCAAGTATTAAATCAGCAACATGGTGGCAAGTAAGGAATCGATCTTCATGGCCTCGTCTTGTTAAGTTTGGAGTAGATCGATGAATGTTATATAGCAGAAATTTACTCAATCTTATCTCATTGTTTGGATTCTAATACCTTAAAAGTTGATGAAAGCTTCCAAAAGTCTCAAGCATCAGTCAACATCACAGTGGCAAGTTAGGAAGAGGATGTGGTTAAGGTGCACATATAAGGAATACTCCATTGCCAAATATTCACTACCGCCTCCCACACTCCTCCTTGAACCTACATATTTTTCTCAAGCAACTAAGATCGCAAACTAAAGACATGCTATGCAAGAGGAATAAATTGCATTCATTTAGTACTGCTTTCATCTAACTTGTACTTTGGTACCATCCTCGGGGTGCTAAGCACTTTGTCGGGTGTAGGTGATCACTCCAAGTTAAAATTTAATGTTGATGGTTCCACTGAACGCTACAGAGTGAAAGTTGCATCAAAGGATTCAATCAGGAAGTTGGAGTAGACTATCGGGACTTACTGTTGTTAAACCTATCACAATAAGAATTGTCCTTACTTTTTATTTAGAAATGAAGAAGGGTCCATATGAAAGCATTGACGAGACGAAAAAATCGATTGTGGTACTAACTTGTGGTCTAATCTATAACAATGTGGGAAATTGTAAAAAGAGCAAAGGAAGATTATGGCAGGTGAGGGTAGAAGAGACACAATTATCAAAATCAGTAGGGAAGAAAATTTCGGGTTAGGACAAATCTTGGAGCTATCTTTCCATGATTTGAGGAGGCATCAATGAAATGTGTTTAAATATGATATTATGACGATGGAAAGTGAGTCGTGAAGAAAATATAAATAGAAAAAGCTAAGAGATTAAAGAAATTTAGAGATACACGTTATGATCCACAGCCCTATGATGGTAGTTCAACAACAAAAGTGTTACAACGCAGGATGTGTGTAAGGCACATGTCATGAGTTTGAGTTTGAGTTTGAATGAAGGATGATGTTTGGTGTTTAAGTGAAGAAGGATAGAAAAGAGGGAGGCATCTAAACTAGGTAAAAGAGAAACGAAATACATTTCTTATCTCAATTGGGTGAGAAAGAATTTTCTCTAAATTTCTCCTGCTCAACTAGTATCACCCATTTGTCCCAATTTACGGGAGAGTGTTTGACATGGCACGAAGTTTAAAAGACAAAAATAATTTCTACACTTACTGATGGAATACTATTTCGTAAACTATAGTAGATGAGCGATCAATTTCTGATCGGCCAAGAAATTAAAGCTGCTAAATGTTTCGCGTAATATATAACACTTACATACAGTTGGTCTTTAGTTGACTTGATTTCACAATTTTTATGCTATCCGTGGAAAACAACTCAAATAAAAATTAAGATAAATTATGTTAATATGCTATTAAAAAAAAAATGTACATCTTTTTTAGATCATGTAAAAACTAATATGTCACAATTTTTAATAGTTAACCTTTTAAAAATAATATTGTAATCTCTTCGTTCCAAAAAGAATAAACTTATTACTATTTGACGAGTCAAACAAGATTTTTTGGTCATATTTTCCACATAATTTTTAAATATTTTAAATTGTTAGCTATTGTGACTTATAATACTTTTATATAGTTTTTAAATATATAAAATTTTATAGTTAAAAAATTCATGTCTGAATTTACACTAAAAATTAGTAAATTTTACCATCGTAACTCGAAAAGGTTCAAACAAATTGAAATTGAGGAAATTGTTATAATTACGATCTTTTGAGTAATAAGCAGTCTATATTTGTAATTAGGATCTTTTGAGTAAATTGTTAACTGTATATAAAAATTAGATTCAAATAAAATTAATACTCATACCTGATAGTTTCAGACTCACAGTAAAGCATAAGAACACGAGTTTTTTCAATAAAATAATCACGTAAAAATTGTATGGGGTAGCCACTATTTAAAGTGGTATTTACTTTTTATCTAGCATTTCTAATGCTGAGCAAAAGTAGCCACTAGTTTATTAAAATTAATATGAAAGGACGTTGTTACCCTTTCCTTCCCAAATGGAAATACAGTGGTATCACAGGTTGGATAGATACGCCATTTTCAGATTCTCTTTCTGGGCTATTCTCTCTGCATATTCTTCTTCTGTTCCCAACCTCCATTTTCTTTCTTTTTCTTTATCGTCTTCTTCCTGTATATTTTGCTTTTTCTTTGTCGTTGAAAAGTGACTCCTTTTTTATGACTCAGAAAAACTATACCAGAGTATGTAGTTTAATGGAGAATGGGAGATTGAGTCAAAGAAAAATACAAGGCCTACTCCTCGAACACTACATATAAGCAATAGAAATTCACTGTATTTTTTTCTATTGAGTCTACTGCTACTACTACTATACCTACTGTGCCTTGAGATCATATGGAGAGGGAATTAGGTGTTAAGTCATGATCACCTTTTTAATTCTCCTTCTCTCTTGACTTTTACCTGCTATGGTTTTTAAATTGGGTAAACTTCAGTCAAAACGGAAGAAAAAAGTGAATTTATCAGAAAAAGATAAAATATTTAAAATATATGTATTTAAGTCAAAAGTTAAAGACACTTGGTCGTTAACTTCGAGTTCCAATTCCAAAAGTTAAGGACACTTGGTCACTTAGAATTACAAGTTTAAAAGTTAAAGACACTTGGTCATGAACTTAGACTAACAAGCTCAAAAGTTAAGGACAATAGGTCCCGAACTTACAGTTACAAGTTCAAAAGTTAAGGACAATAGGTCCTGCAGTCCTGAACATAGACTAACAAGCTCAAAAGTTAAGGACAATAGGTCCTGAACTTAGACTAACAAGCTCAAAAGTTAAGGACAATAGGTCCTGAATTTAGATTAACAGCTCAAAAGTTAAGGACACTTGGTCTTGAACTTGCAGTTACAAGTTCAAAAGTTAAGGACACTTGGTCGTGAACTTAGACTAACAAGCTCAAAAGTTAAGGACAAGTAGTCCTTAACTTAGAGTTACAAGCACAGAACTTAAGGACAGGTGGTCCTGAACTTCGAGTTCCAAGTTGAAAAGTTAAGGACATGTAGTCCTGAAATCCTGAACTTAGAGTTGCAAATTTAAAAAAAAGTTAAGGACATGTAGTCCTAAGTCCTGAACTTAGAGTTGCAAGTTTAAAAGTTAAGGACACTTGGTCGTGAACTTTATGAGCAGAAGGGTGTTTTCGTCGGAGCAGGTAAAGTTTATTAAAGAAATGATTAAACACTAAAGATATTTTAATAAGTAGCTTAAAAATAAATACATATATTATTAGTGGCTAACTATGCACTTTACCCAATAATCACCGGTTGGGCTGCTTGAAACAAACAGCAGCAGTCCCTAGAGAATCAAAAGGAAACCTCAAACCGGTTTCCTGAATCAAAATACCCAAACCAAATCTGGCGGGGCACCTCTCACCCCACCCCGCCCCAGTTTCTCAAGCCCCTGCCCCACTCTCTACTCCGGGTTGACGCACATATTTTTCATCCCCTCTCTATTCATTGTTATCTCCTCTCTTTCCGTCTCCATGAACTTATCTGGTAGGTATTTATTCCCGTTTCACTTTCTGCTGAAAAAGCCATTGAAATGACTTATTTTTCTTTCAATTCTCAGTGCATCTTCATTCATCTTCTCCTCAAATTGTCCGAGTAGCTTTTCGATCACTCACAACACTATGAAATTGCAATTTTTTTTGGCCATTAATGGCGGTGGTTCATTCACCTCTTTTCTGTTTTGTTTCTAAGTAATATAGAAAAAATCTTTTTTTAGTATCATATGCTAAACGCAATTTTCACCTTTGCTTATACACTGACTACGTTTTGCGAGACTTTTGCTATACATTTCATGTTCTCTTTTCACCATAGGAGTATAATTTAGTTCAACTTGCTGATCGGAATCGTTTTTTTCGTTTTGCTTTTTCAATTTTCTTCTGGAACTTTTCTCAGATCATAAGTTTTTAGAAGATACAATATGTAATCACTCCCAGCATTGCGGAAATGCCGTTGCTTCGTTTTTCAGGTGCGTAATGCTGTTTCTACATATTTATTGCATATTTAAATTAAATATATGTTTCAATTAGTTTCTTCTTTCTTCTTTGCAATTTATTTTGGTTCACAAAGCTTTTCCTTGCCGAGTTATTGGAGTTTCGTTTCTTTACGAGGTCCATAAGCATCTTATGTTGGTTTTAGTGTCACATTTGATGTACTGTTGCTAATTTATTTCGCTTTAATATTTCATGATAGAAAGAATCACTTTAATGTTTCTCGGTCGAATCTGTGGTGGCTCCATATTTGTTATTGCATGTACCCTTTTTTTTTTTTTTGGGTTTCTGCTGCATTTTTTCTTTTGTGGCACTAATTCATCACAAGAAATAGATACTAGTAGTAACTTTTACCTTATGGCATGTGAAATATGCTTCCTCCCTGTGTGATATGCTCTTAGTGCCGCTGTCTTATGGCTTCTCCTGGGAACTGTGTTATGATCTGCATTACGTTTTGCCTTCCTGTTAATGTTGTCATAAATCTTGGTGTTATTGATCTAAAGTGTATCCATGCTAAAATACAGACCATTTTACCAGTATAATGGCCTACGGTAGAAGTTGAACTGAAATACCACTTGGCAATCTAAATAAAATCTAGTAACACCATGTTAATTTTTACCCATTACTCTAGGAAAATAATGTTCAACATTAACTAGCTTTGTTCCTCTAGAATTGTTTAGAGATCATATTCAAAGCGATTTTCCTCGTGAAATGGCTTGGCTACCTAACCTACCTTTTTGTATTTAAACGCATGCACTAACATAAGTTAAGGATTTTTGAAAGAAAATTAGGGTTTTCATTTTACAGTTCGAGGAGAGACCAATAACTCATATTCCCTCCGTTCTAATTTATCTTATCCTATTTTCTTTTTAGCCATTCCAAAAAGACCGACCTCTTTCTAAATTAAATATGACTTCTCATTTTGCCCTTTCTAAAAAGCTTTTGTAGCCACAAAAATTTTCCGGCATATTTAAGATCAAAAGTTTCAAAGTATTATAGCCACAGAAATGTTATGACATATTAACGATCGAAAGTTTCAAAAATCTTCTTTTCTTTCTTAAATTATGTGGTTGAGAAGGAGGAAGTATTTGACACGAGCCTACGAAAACAGAAGTGAATGGTTGAGGAGTATATGGGAGAATTGAAGGGGCAAATGAAAAAGTCTAAACAGAGTAAAGTATTTAGAATGCAATATAAGTTATGATCCAAAAAGTCTAAGTTTTTAATGCTAATTATAAAAACATAAGTTATGGATCCATGTGGGATGCATATGGATGGGCTAATAGGAGAAGGAAGAGATAGATAGAGTGGGGTGAGATGAGTGAATGCCTCAAGTGTACCATTATCAAGGTGGGTTAAAGGATAGATGTATGATTAGTGTGCATGCAAGAAATAAAAATGAAAAAAATACCAGAGTTAATTATCATAAGTGTGTGAAAACATAAGAGTGAGAAGTGAAATGATATGCTTAGGAGGAGATAAGAAGGGATTGTGGTGTTATAAGACATGTCGATGTTGAAGTTTCGAGAGGTGAGGAAGGAGATTCCACAATTTTTGTAATCTTTGAGAGAGTGGATAGTTCATTCGAGTGAGATTGATGGGTTGGCAAGTGAGGGGTCAAAATGGAGTTTTGAGAGGAGATCTCATTGGTGATGCTAGGATGGGGTAATGTGAGATAAATCGGATAAGACTCCCGGAGGAAAGAGAGGAATGTGAGGCCATCATGTAAATTCCAACATAGGCAAAAATAGTAGGTGATTATTCTCCTATACATGTGCTAGGCCATCATGTAAATTCCAACATAGGCAAAAATAGTAGGTGATTATTCTCCTATACATGTGCTTATAGGAGATGACGGAATGGCAGTTACCTGATGGATTAGTCGAGTGCATGCGAGCTGGCTCGAACATTAACGTTTTAAAAGGAAAGAAAGAGGTGGTATGCCATTCCTTTGGGCAATGGGAAATTCACGATGTAATCAACTCTCTCCCATTTGTTTTCCCATGGCAGCTGTTAAATTTATCTGGTCCACAACTGAAGAGTCAATCAAGGCTCGACAAGTTTCTCATCCAACCATCTGGGACTGGGAGGGGATGTTGCTAATATTTATCCAGATTGCTTCTTCTCTGCTAATATTAAACCCTATACTGATTTTGTAGATTGTAGCAGAATAAGGAGTACCCTTCCTAACAATTAGAAGCGGTCAGTGCTGGATGGTGGAGGGAGTACCATATCCAAAGGGCTCCTCTTTTTGTCTGGCGAAGAAGTTGAAGCGGCTAAGAAATTATTTAAGGTGGACTGGAGAAGTACTTTAGAGGATAAAAATATAACAAGGGTACTGAGGAATGAATTTGGAAATTGGAGAGGAAAGAGAGAGGGGGCTTCATTAAGAGGGAAAAATTAGGAAGTATGGGGTAAAAGAGTAATTAGCTAACATGACAGTCACCTAAGCATTAAATGGAGATAAAATTTGAAGATGAAGAAGGGTGATTATTCTTTTTATCTGTTAGCAATTGCTAGTCGGAGGAGGAATTTATGGACACAATAAAGGTGAAATAGGTAGAATATGGAGAAAAAGGAAGTAAGGGGAGTTATTGAGTGAAGATAATGTCGACATAAAACTCTAAATTAAAGAGAGTGGATTTTAGCAACATAGGGAGAGAAGAGGCAATCAGTTGGAGGGGGAGTTCCTACTGTTGGACGTTTGGGGGGATGTTGTTACTGTTCATGGAAGTGCTCATCAAAGCTACAAATAGAGTTGTGATCGGGGGTTATCTAAGATCCTTGTAGCTAGCATGGAAGGCTAGACCAATGAACGGATGTTTCATCTTCTTTTGCGGACAATACTCTTGCATATTATTACCCGAGGCGCATCAACTCCGCTACTTGAAAAGCACATAACTATCTAGGTAGCTTTGAGTCTGAAGATAGACATGAAAGAGTGTGAGATAAGTCTAGTGGTTAAGGAAGATAACACAGAGCAACCAAATGAGATCCTATTGTGTGGTTGATTCCCCTTTTGTCGACTAAATGCAGCTTATTATCTAGTTCTTATACGCTTTCCACAATGTAAATGGTAAAGTTACATGGGTATTGCTTGGTATTCTTTCTACTTATCTTTATAGGATTGGATCTTTGATTTGTTGTGCTATTTTTTCTTTTTCATTGGACAGTTCTTTTTGGTCCTGATTATGTTGAACTGTGATATTTTTCCATCGTTAAACGTAGTATTATCTTGAAATGGATTTTTACCATACATTTGGTGCCTGGGCTGTATTAGCATTTTGGTAAATGACAAGGCAGTTAGTACTTAGTTCTATTTGAGCTGGTCTGGATTTCATTCCATATATAGTCCTGGATGTGATGGAAATCTTTAATTAGTGCATTCGTTTAATCATATCCTTGAATAAAGTGCATCATATGATTATACAGGTTCCTAGTGATTTTAATTGAATAATTCCTCTGTCTAGAGTACAACGGCTAAAGTACCTAATTTTTTTTGTGGATTTAAACATAGATTCTTCAAGTTTTTGAAATGGAATTTACATAGTTGGAAACTGCATAAAAGGTACTATAGGTCACAAAAGTTAATAATTCAATATATTTGAAAGGTTTTTTAAAAAAGGGGGTTGTGGTCAAAGAACTCCCAAAATAGTAAAAGTGGCCTTTTTCCCCCAAAAAAAGAAAAAGAAAAATGTGATAGTGGAAGTAATAGGTTTTAGAGGGATAGAAGAAATAAATTAGATACATTTTTTAGTTTTTACTGATATAATTCAGTTACAGTCATGCAACACAAAATGACTTTTTACCACATCTTCAATACAATAGATTTCATGTCTTAACTGTGAAATATGATTCAAGAATAAACAAAATGGTTATGATAGCCATCAAGATGACAAGATCATAATGCTATTGCTATACATTGTTTGTTTCTATGCTTTTGAACAAATGAGCGTGCATCAATGCATGGGCCGAGCTAGGGTGGCGGAAGGGGGTTCCCTACGCTGGAAAATTACACTGCATATATATGGTCAAATTTTTTATGTAAATATATTAGGTGTTGAATCCCCTTGGCCTCTCTGCATGTCTACTTTTTTGTTTTTTGAATTCCCTTGGCGGAAATCCTAGCTTCGCCACTTGTATTCGTACTCTCTTACCAACATATCACCATTATACATTTTCTTTTCTCTTTCTTTTCTTTTTGTAGAGTATATCTGCCTCTATTTGTTTGAATCTGTGCCTCTTATATCAAGATGGTTCAAGTCCCAACTCCTCCCCAATTGTACTTCACTCCCCTTTTTTTTTTTCTGCCAATCTCCTTGTGGAAAAGGAGAGCTCGTTCACAATAAGCGTCAAGTTTTGGGAAGTAATAAGCTGGGCTAGCTTACGGTCTCTGGTTCACCTACCTTGAGTAATGCCAATTTTTTTGGAATGGTTGAAGTGGGTTAAAACATATATAAAAGTTTAAAAAAATTTCTGAAGCTCATACTAAATTGTAATGGCGCCTTAAATTGAAACTTAAGGCAGTACAAATGAAGTTCAGGAATAAGGTTACTACGCTATTTCCTTGCCTGTCCCGCTAATAGAATAACATATTAATGTTATGGTCATAACAGTGCATGCTAGTATATGTACCTTTCTGTAGTTTTATTTACTTTAGACCCTCTAAATAAGATTGCACATTTGTTATGTTGCTAAAATTCTCATGATGACCTAAAAATTTTCATGATGACCTTCAATTAAACCATGATAGAACTGAAAATGAAGGATTCAAGGGGCTTAACTTAGCTTACTGTATATAACTAAAAAAGGACAATTTGAAAGAACCTCAATATTGGCATCTCCAAGAGAGAACCATGCCATCTTACTGAAATATGGTGTATAGATCCTTGCTCTGTACAAGGGCTATCCTTGTCCTGCCTGTCAGGGAATTCTTAATCTTGTTGCTACATTGATGTAAAGTGTTATTTAGTTGAGA